AACTAGCAGTAGTATCATCAGTATAGCACAGGTTATTGATGATTCCTCCTCCAATTTTAAACCTCCTTTTTGCTATGATCTGTGTAGGAATATAATACAGTGATGATATTGTGGCAGAAGCCTCCATGCTTACGAGAAGATTTGGAGAGATCCTTTAAATCCTAAACCCTAAACAACTTCATCTGGGAGTGACATCCTACTGAACATTTTGTGGGACTTACTTTAAATCAATATTTTCAGTATGCATTGATTACTCTGTAATACCAAAAAAAATGTATGCCTCATGTTAAAGCTGCCCCCAACTGAGATGGTCCAGAACAGGCAAAACAATGTTTTTTTGTAGAAAGCATACTTGTATCAGGAAAATTGCTGTGCCTAAAGATTGTGATGGTCATGGAAGAAAACAGGTTTATCAATAAGACTGCTGAAAAGGAGATGGAGGGTGCAGGTGCTGTTGCCATCATGTGCTTGCAGACTTGCTGAAGGACTCCATTTGCCCACTTTGGAGATGTAATGGGCTGTGAGAATAACCTTGGGAGACAGGAGGAAGAGCTACAGCCGGGGCAATGGTTGGACGAGGTAGCTCAGCCCTCAGAAGCAAGCAAGCACCTCAGAAGGGACTCTTCCTCATTTTCTGGAAAGTAAAAGTAAAGGAGGGGAGAAGGCTTTTAGACCTGCAAGATTCTGTTACTGTAACCCTACAATGAAGGTAGCGTTAGCACTCATGGCTTGGTTTCCTGTCTGGACTACCTCAAAGGGCTGAGAGGGGAATGGGAACATTTAGCTACAGAGACCTTTGCTGGGAGGTTCTTACACTTTTTTACTCGAGTAGATACAATCATGTATGTCAACTGCTCCACATCACGATTGCTCAGGGGACAGTGTGGCATTGAACGCCAGTTGATGATGATCAGTGGAATGGAAAGGGTGGGGCATTTTGCCAGTCATCCACCACCCTCCTCAAGAAGAAAATGAGGACAGAGACAAGGATGTTTAGAGAAGCCCTGCTTTGCTCAGGGTGGGAGGACACATCTCTAAATTTCTGGCTTTTTTCCATCTCTGGCAGTTGGACAGGATGGTCAATCCTCCATAACTACCTCATCTCCTTTCATTCAATATGGCTGGCCAGGAGGTCTTAGTTTAGCTTTAAAAAGCCCTGAGGTTGCTGCTGCTAAAACTAATCTCATCTTACCCTCCTCATTAATTGTTGGCTGGGCTTAGTTGATTGCACTATACACTTAAGCATATCATGAGACCAGGACCTACCATTTTTGCCTAGATGTTGGACAAGATGGATTTTTGTCTAACAATGGGACATCGTCAACTTGTTAAGAAATAGTCCCATTAAGTAAAAGTTGTCTTACATTGACTAAGTCTCTAATTTCCTCAAATTTTAAAAACTTAAGTATATACATCTCATAATTAGTGAATAACCACCACAATGCTGAATACTTTCTCATCCTTTGCTTGAGAGTTGTTTTTCCTCTTCTCCTTACAGAGTAAACACAAAAGCTAAGCTTAAAAATCAACCCAGTGGATCAAAAACGGGTTCAACCTAGTTATGTCAAAATGAGAAGAGATGCTGCATTGCTATGGGGAACAGGGGATGCTTTGTCCTTTAAATCTGATCTGCTTGGCTAGTTTCTCATTCCACACATTTTATCATTTCCCAGGGAGGTTTCATAGCTTTGAGATGCCAGTGAAATCCTCTACAATGAACAGCCTCAACTTGGGTCCATTACATTTTGAAGGACCAGACTGAAAGTGGTCAGGGAATTCTTCCCAAAAATCCTCACCTGTTTGCTCAAAATGAAAATCATGCAAACACAGACACCTCCCCCACAACAATGTTGGGGCTTCCTTCTTCCCACAGCTGACAGCCAGATGCTTTAAAAAAGCCAGAAGCTTGGAATAAAAATGTGAACTTCTGCCTTGTTCCGAAGCAAGTGAGATTTAGTGGCCCACTACCTCCAAACCTGGTAATTCCTTAGTTGCTTGGCATTTATCTCATCCTCTCCCCCGCCACTTTAAAGTCTTCTAACCAAGTGAAGAAGCTGGAAGACCTGAAGATACTGTGTAGTGCATCACTAGTCACTGGGAAAGGATTTAAAAAGTAAATGACTGTTTTTTTTTTCATTAATTGCAGGGTGTACAATTGCACGTTTGTTTTCTAGGTGGGGAAAGATGGGAATAACTAAGCATAATATAGTTGTACTTATTCCTGGCCTCTTCTTTGGGAGTTAAAGGCAGCATCGATTGGGAGTTTATTTCATCCCCACAGAACTGCCCCTCCCCCCAAGAAATACATGGATCAAGAGTGAGACATTCAGTGAACTCTATAGGTAGACAGGGGGACTCTCCAGTCCTGGTGCAATATTTCATCACCAAATATTATTGGCTATAATATACAGAAGTCTTCATTTAGCAACCCTTTGCAGTTATGATGGTGATGAAAAAGTTACTTTGCAGTCAGTCTTTGCATTTACGACCTTTGCAAAGTCTGTAAAGCAAAGCTGAGATAAGATCATAAGCTCAGCTGTGGTTTCACTTAGAGACTTCATTTAATGACTGAGTTGCTGGTCCCAACTGTGGTCACTAAACAAAGACTACCTGTATAGGCAAGGTTTTTGTTTCAGTGAGGGTTCTGTCACATAAAGAAAATTTGGACTGAGGAAATGGGATATGAAGAGAAGTTCTTAGTATCTTTTACTGAGGAATCCTTGGAAGAAGAGGGCTATCCAGACGGACTTAAATACCTTTATGTTAAAATCATCAAGATAAGAAAATGAAAGGAATGGTATTCCTGGATTTTCAGTGTAATAAAACTGGTTTATTTACATAACAACATGTCTGTCACAGAGTACACAGCAAAGTACCACAGCAAAGCGTAACTGCCGTCTGAACACAAAAAAGGTATGAGAGTTATATCTATAAGAATGGATAAATATAAATATGATGAAGCACCAGACAGAGCAATGCAGTGAACTTCAAACACAATTACTTGCTGAGGGGAACAGAGTCTTATCCCCCCTCCCCTTCCCCATCACCTTGAGGCACTGGAAAAGAAGTATCATATAAAACTGTATTTGAATAGGAATTTTTGACTTAAAATACTTTATCTTCCTAATAAAAACTAAAACAGATCTTTCCTCATACTGCTTGACAGAATTAAATCTTTCTAAAAAATCACATACAGAGAACCACCTCAAGACAAAACCCTTCTAAGTCTGAATCCAAGTCAGCAAATGGTACGCTCGACGCAGCATGTTGGAAAGAGACCTTCCACATCAGTGTCAACATGTACCACACTGCAGGCCGGCAGGGGAACTGCCTTGTTGGGACTGAAATCCCAGAATTCCCAGCCAGCAGCTCCAACGTATCTGAGCACCAGGTTGGGGAAGGTTCAGACGCATTCTGGAGATGCCTATTCCAAACTCTTGGAAAGAGAGGTCTACTACGTGAATTTTTAAAATTCAAGAAATGTTATGTATATTCAAATATATAATACACTTAGCATAAAAACAAATCAGATTATGCTTGTAGTTCAGTAGAATTCATTTATAAAAATATAGACACTCGACAATTTCCTCCCATATTAAAATATATCAAACTTTTCTGGATTACAGGAATAGTCAAGGAACTGGAAGCCAGCATCAGTGCAGCTAAAGGAAGCACTCTGGAACAAACTAATTGACAGTTTTTTCAATCTCCATCTGTTCTACCTTGCTTCAGCTTTGTAGCAAACAGCTTTCCAACAAAAAGTTGGATGGAACAGGAAATGCTATGGTAGAATCTCTTTAGGAATTAATAATTTTCAATTACGTTCCTAGGCATAGGGATGGCAATCCTACAAATAATTAAATGTAGCTCAAGTCACTGAAATCATAGGTTTAGGAGCAACTTAACTTTGTAAAGGATTGACAATGCACTTCTAAGTACATTCATTTTGTATAATTAGACAAACCAAAGCAACCCTCCCTCCCATGCCTTTAAATATCAAATTATGCTACTCTGAAACAACTGGACAGAGGCCTTGCCATCTTGTTAAGCCAGTCCATTTACAGTTGCAATAATCTTACACAGTGAATGTTAATCAGAAGTTCCCTTGTGTCGTTTACTTTGAATCTGTAAACAAACTTGCAAAAATGTGTGCTATTATTAAAGACACAGTATTTATAGAGGGGTGATTCTAAATGGAAGAGATGCTACTATCTTCATGTTTAGTTCTTTACTTCCAGGATTACATCTGTTCATTTATAGGGAAGGTATTTTGGGGAGTGCTGGGGTGGTAGAGAGTAGCTAAGAACAGAGCCATTTAGAAACAATTTTGCTCTTGCAAAGCCTGTCTTGAGAGCCATTTCTTGATCAGGCTTGAACAGTTTTTCTAAACCTAGTACGCTGGCCAGGGATTCTAGGATCTGGCATCAAGTTGGGGAAGGCTGTGCTTGAACAGGGCAACATGTTGGGAGAAATCAAAATTGCTACATAATTAATCACTTGAGGCACGCTATAATCCTCATTTAACAACATTTCAGAAACAGGACCATTCAAATCTTTTTAATATTGAAAAAGTGTTAATGACCCCAAGGTTTCTCCTTCATGCCTCTCCTGAAGATTCAGCTCATCTTAACTTGACCTAATAAGTGTAATGATGATGTCTGAAAATATCAGGGAGAAAAATAAAATATTAAACTTAGGAACAATGCATCCAATGTTTCCCTGGCAAAATTGGCAAAACTGAATTTTGCAAAAATAAAATAAAATAAAAAATAAAATAAAGTTAGAGAGCTAGAGATACTATTTTGAAAAACTAAACTGGTCTGAATACCAACATTCCTGATTTTCTTTAATCATATTTTTGACAAACATAAACAAACGGAGTGGCACCAGTTATCTGTTACAACTGGATAGAATAATGAATATGGAGGCTACTACATGTACAATTCATTTCACAGCTGCATTTTCCAGTAACTGCAGTATATTTTGATATTGTGCAGCTGTTATGAAAGAACAATTCCCTGTGGCTTCTGCCACTAAAGGCAGCATTTCCTGAATTTCCTTTAATGATGATGATGATGATCATCTCCAAATGGTACCAGAATAAGAAAATGGCCACTTCTCTGAACTTTGTTGCTCTCCACGTTTTAGGCTTTGTACCAGTGCTTAAGTTAGATAAATGGTCAATCCTTCTTAACAGTGTTAGCAAATAGACTTGCAAGAGATATATATGAAGTGTTTGTTTTCTCATTGGTTGTAAACTGAAAAAGATAAGCATTTCCCCAGTTTTATGTTGTCTAGACAATTTTAAAACCATATCTTGTTTTATTGTATAGAAGTTGCAGATTTGGAAAATGTCTGTTACCATTTTATTTTCATTTTTAATAACGTCAACAGAACTCTTGAATTTGCATAACCAAATAGTGCTCTTTTGATTAGATTGTCAGCTTCATGCAGAACATGTAATTTTATTTCTTTTCTCTTTTTTAATGTAGGCAATATTATTAAATTGGTAGCTGGCACTGGGCAATTCCCACCACAGAATTCTCCTCTTAATAGCTTTAAATCTGTGACAAGGCAATGTTCTTAGCACACTTAATTACTCATCCAGGCTGCCACCCCAGAAAAGATTAATGACACTAAAGGTTCCAGGAAGCATGTGTTCAAATATTTAAACATAAGTGAATTTCAGAGAATTTTTGTTTGCCATTAGGAAAATTGTAGATATTGTGCTAACATAAATTTAGCAGCAGCTTTCCAAAAAATATATTTACAATGTGTAAATATATCTACATAAGAAAAATATCTATTTACAGTCAGTATGGCTATTTGAAAATTACAATCCTTTGAACTCAATCAACATGTATATTTAAAATACAATAAAAGTATGTTTATATTTTTAAGGTGTTAATATTTTATGATTGCAGCAGCTAATTATAAAGACAAGGAAGAATTTCATTTTGTTCAGAAATTATACTGCAACATTTTGTTCTAGTTTATTATGCATCTTATCTGTTTGGATCAGCTAATCTCTTAAATGGCAGAATATCTATATAAGAATTGGGCTTCAACAGGATTGTTTGCAGAAGTAGTCCCAGGGTCCACCAAACCTGGAAACCTTGGCTAGACTGCATCTCTATGTATCCCTCTGCATCTCTGTCTCTCTCTGTCTCTGTCTTTCTCTCTCACACACACAAACACAAATATTCACTGATACGGAGCAATCACATTATTATCCTTCATTATCAAAGTTCAGCTAGTACTATATAAAAGGGAAATGGCAGTGAGCACACACCTCTGCTTGAATGGAGTGCACAATGCTAATACTGGTTGAAATCTGTTCTATTATATATAGGGAGCTGCTGCATAAAATATGCATGGCCATCTTAAAACATTCAATAGTCTATTTTACAGGTTATATCAACATGAGGGTGACCCAATGCAATTATCTTACAAACAAAAATATGTAAGGTGGCCTATTGGAATATAGCCTACCATGGTGGTAAGTAGTCCTGATGTTCCATTAACATGCTGGTTAAATGAACATTTATATACATGCAGATATCAATTAAAAGCATACGTAAAATCAGAGAAAAAGCCCAGTGTGAAGAGCAGGCAGCAGGCTGTGAGCAAAGTACACTCACAAAGATGTGTATAGTCACTCTTCACTATTTCAAGCAGGACCACAATTCATGTTTAGGCCAGGCTCTCTAAACAGTTCTGTAGTGCATTGATAGCAAATGCTTGTTTTGGTGGCCATTTGAACAAAAGCCACATCTCACATTCTGGGGGTCAGTGTTGGCTCTTCATATGCAAACAATTTTGCACTTTTGTTTTATAGCAATAAAACATTCATACACATTATTCTGAATTCTGTTCAATCTTTCTCCAATTGTCTATGGATATGGAAGCCAAAAGATTTAAAACATTTTAAGAAGCCACCACATATTCTATGCCAGGCTCAGTTTCCATCAAGTGAGGGGGGCATGTTCTACTCAAAGATCATAGAGCCAGATTTAGTGACTTAGTTTCTGTAGATTATCTTTTAATATCTGGTCCAAACCTGCATATCCTGTTCAAAATGGCTATTTGTCTCAAAGGCTGAAGTAAACATGTTAGTCACAGTTTAACAATAAAGAAAAGAAACACCAATCCATAGAAAGAGCACACAACTTTGTGCATCCATGTGCCTTGTAAGAAAAGAAAAGGAAGGCAGGTCTAACATATGGTTACATCTGTTATGTAACGTAAACATAAACAGTTTTTCATATAATATATCCAAAAATTGCACATATATCCAGAAGAGAAGCACAGGCTCAACACAAGAGCTATCCATGATCCAACAAACATCCCCAGCTTTGGGAATTCAATACTGGTCAGCTACTCCATCATTTCAGAGCTAATCAAACAATCCTAACCAATACTGAGCAGACAGATCAGATACACTGAGGCTATACTGCCTCTGCAGGAAAAGACCAGTGTGAAGGGTTAAGGAAGCCAGAAGAGAGGTCCAAAGGCCAATCACACCTTCAGGCAGTTAGATTTGTCTGTTAAAGTCACCTCTGCTGCAGAAAGTTCTTCAGAGTCAGTAAGAGTCATTGATAACTCTACAATTTTGGAATATCAAAAGTAATCACTTAAAGATCTTGATAGCAGCTATGAGGTCAGTTCTATAAAGAAGCTACAATGGGACACAATTTAATTGCGTCTGCCCAAACCAACTGCTCTCAAAAAGCACAGTATATTTTGCTCCTTGACCACTGCCTCCCCAGAACCATGCCTGCAGAAAACCTAGCTGGAAATCTCTAGCTGCACAGCTTATTTATCACATCAAGCTGAGCTTTAAGAAACTTTTGCAGCTGTCAGCCTAGTTGACTTTTGCTTTGCTTTGCAAAAACAAAACAAAACAAAACAAAACAAAACAAAACAAAACAAAACAAAAAACAACCAACCTTTGGTTTAATATATACATCAACTGGATAAGAATATGGGGCCAGCTGTTTTTAATACATGTTGGCTTCAGTTGCCCTTAGGTTCTTATGCTGCATGTGGTTAGCAACATTATGAGTAACACTTCACCAATAATCTTTACTGATCCTGTGCACTGCAAAAAAAGAATCTTTTGCTTCAGTTGGTAGTATATTCAGGTGATTAATAAATCTGACAAATCAGATAAAAAATGACAAAATAAAGGAAAAATACATTTTCAAAGAGAACTTGGGGAAAGGGCAAGGGTGGGGACTAAATCTGAGTGGGAAAATGGCCAATGGGAAAGGCACCCCTACCCTACTACTACTCAACCCTACAACCTCTCTAAGATACTGTTAAAAGAAAAAAAAAAATTATTCAGAAGGCAGTACCACTAAATCACTGCTCTCTCTCATACATCAAATGCAGTCAAGGATGCCATCTCCCTAAAAGAATCCTGTAAAAGCTACTCATCGAGGAAATGTGACTAATAAGTTGGAGTCATGGATTAAAACAGGGATAGGCCGACAAAGTTCAAGGGTCAGGAGGCCAGGTGTGATGGTTTGCAGACCTCTCCAATGCATGCAAGACTGGAAATGGAACTTCCTGTTGAAATCTGTTTGCTCAGTGCTGGTGATCTCAAGACCTAGATAAGAACGTTAACACAGCATGAAACTTGTGCCAAAGAAATGATTGGGGTATATCCAAGTGAAGCAACCACTCCTACGAAACTAATGGTGCCGCATAATTTTCACTATGCGACTGAGTGAGTCTATAGTGGCAAAAGCCAGATACTGACAACAAAGCCAGTCTTCAAGGCTGACTTGACATTCCTTGTCCAAAGACTTTTCAGCAAACTTAATCATCAACAGGGTCCGTTTGATGTCTAGCCAGTTTTGGAGTACAGTCTCTCTTTGTGAAGGTTTAGTAGAGGCCCTGAGAGTCTGAAACAAATCCTCCCGAGGACCCCAAAGCAAACACTGAAGGACGCCCTTGGCCTCAGATATAAGGATCCTTTCTGACGGGTTCGGGTTCAGCAGGCAAGCAGCAAGCTGCTGAAGCCCAAGGGAATAAAGTGACCGACAAGGGATTTGGGGTAGGTCAGCCCGAGTGTATTCCTTCTCTTTCAGCTCTGGATTCTCATCAAAGGGGTTGGGCAGGTGCAGCATTTCATAAATGAGGATGCCAGTCTGGAACTCATCACATTTCTTATACTGTGTGGCAGTGATGATTTCTGGGGCGAGCCGAGACTGGTCTTTCAGAACCTCTGGATCCACCATGTGACTCTTTTGCTTGGCTTGAGAGAAATTGCTCACAATAAGCCGGGCAGAGCAAGCAGCACTGGGGTTGAGCTCAACAGACTCATTATTCAGAAGGCTTCTGCCTGGCCTGCAGTCTACCAGCAAAAGGTTCTCCAAACGCAGATCGCAGTGTGTAATATGATAGGGTTTCAGGTGCTCTAGACCAGAACACAATTGTAAGAGTAGTAGGCACACTTGTCTTTCATACAAATCTGGACAGCTAGAATGGTGATCTACAGAGTTTTGCACAAAATCTGCCACTGACAAGTAGGGAACTTCCCGGGTAATAACAACAACTCTGCTGCGCTGCTTACTGATGGTTGTTTGCAGACCTGGACTGTCCTTCTGTGAAACTTCCACAGTACAGAGACTCTCTTCGTTCTTCTGCTCAACATCTTCCTCTTCTTCAGGTGAATTGGGATCTTCCCATGGAAGGAGACGAACAGGTACATCTGCTAGGAAGTGGCCACAATCCTGCTGTATGTTAAAATGAATAGCCAAGCTCTGGCGAATGGCCAAACTGTGGTAATACTGTTGGGATTCTTTAGCTTTGCTCTTACAAATCTGAAGGCAGGAAAAAAGAATAAAAAAAACAAGTTTGAAATAAGATAATGAAAAGCTGTTATTTGAAATCACACCCACCTATTCCTCCTTACAAATAGAGAAGTGCAGCTATTGAAAAATGATCCATAAAGGATTTTGAAAGTGCATTAGCAGAAAGGAGACCTAATTCAGAAAGAAGTTATATTTTCCTGAGGCTGCTGGTATTAAGGTACCCATCTTCTTTATCTGCTGGTATCTATCCCTCTCTCTCTCTCTCTTTTTAAAGTTCAGATGGGTAATAAGATGGAAAGATCAAGTCATGTCTCCTCCCAACTGAACTTGACTCTTGGTAATGTCATGGACACACCACAAAGTTTTCTTGTAAACATGGAGCTAAAAAACAAAATAATACAAAACAAAAGCTGTAAAGAGAAGGAGCACCCACCCAATTGCCAAAATTGTCTAGTGGAAGAACTAAGGAGAGGTCAAGAAAATAAAAAGTGGAACACAGTGAATTAAAAAAAAAGAAGGTACAGTAGGCTCTGGCCTCTTCTACAACTAATTTTTTTGGGACACAAATGGGTGAACATCTGAATTGACTGTGCACAACTTTTCTTGGAGGGAAAATATGTATGTATGGCATACATAAATCTTCTGACCTCATAGATTCCTTTAGCCAACTGTGGATATTTTAAACTTGGGAAGGAGACAAGAGTTAAGGATCTACAAAGAGTAGTTCTTGAGTATATAAAATGGGTAATTTAATTACCTGCTTTCAGAACAAGCTTGTCAAACAATTTTATATTATAGGTATATCTACTGGAATCTACAAAAGGAAATTGGCACTTTACTACAGAGAAGGACTTGCAAGCTCTGTGTTTTTTTTTTTGGACTGATGCATTGCCTTGAAGCAGATTGCTCTGGTGATAAGAATCAAGATGGCTCTGCAATGTGATGTTGCTTGGTATAAGCTTAGCGTTTAATGTATTTTTGCTTTATCCTTTGTGTATACATTTATTTGCAACCATAGGTTTTAGCAAAATTCATATAAAATTGCAACAATCCATATCCTTATTTTTTCTTCATTGTTTATTAGATCAGATTACAATCTAATAAGGGTGAAATAGCTGGTATAGTTATATAAGCAAATACTGAAAATACTAGAGAGAAGTTGCTGCAAGTGTTATGTATCTCTTCATGTGAACTTCTGCAAATCTATTTCCTTTTCTGTGTAAGATCCATGTAAGACAAATCAACGGCTATAATACAGGATTGGTAATAACTTTAGTCAAAGGAAAAGAATGTCTGATTTTGCTTAGCTTAGCTCTACTCAGAGGAGCCTTTACTTTTTTTACTGGAACATATTATCTTGGCCTATAATACACCATCCTCAAAGATCATCTCTGTTGTGCTGAACCTGGGACTGCACACTATAAAATTATGGACACCCCCCTCCCTTTGATATCAACACATTTTTGACAGATTACTCTACAGTGGTTGTGGTGGAAATGACAGGCTCATAATATAACCTGGAGACAGGCCCCATGGCTAGCTAATCCTTTGTTTCTCAACCTATGTTTTTAGCTGACGCAATTCTGAAGTTCAGTTACACTTGAATATTATCATATTTCTTGGATTCCATGCCAATGTAGTTTTTGGCTTGTACATGGTTTTACAACCACTGTTGTATTTTCATTCAACTGATTGATTTTGAAGGATTTTTTCTTTCCATAAAAAAAAGTTCTTTCGATTTACAGTGCTAACTGACCCTCCATTAATGAAATCTACATAATTAGATATAGTCTTTAGAATTTTCAGATCCAAAACTTATATTTAGTAGCTGTTCTCAGCATGAGTCCCATTTTTCTCAGTCTTCTCTTGTGCTGAATAGTTCTTAGAGTTTGTGGAGGGCTACAGCTCTGAATGCTAACGTGCAGGAGTAAACCTGCAGCCAATTAAAATCCTCTACATCATGGTGCATATTCCCTCCTTCCTACCCCTGCTTTTCCCCTAATAATTTAAAAAGAGCCTGTAACATGTCACTTATAATAATGTCCAGTATATATCTCTAAACCTTGAAGAATATAGCTCTATTTAGAATTCTGTATTTTATTAGAATTTTGAAGTATTCTAACTTCCATCTGTAAAGTGAAATAGAGAATCCAGAAGAACAATCTATTATGTTATTTTGCTTACTGATGAAATGACACGGTCTGTTTCATTTACAGAACACAAACTGTGATTTGTTCATAAATTACTGTGGCCCTTTTATTTTAAAAAAGTAATGCATATTTTGTAGAAAGCAAATAGCACTGTATATGTAAAGTTCAGATCTAATTGTTTTCTTTTAAATAAAAAGAAAATATCTATTTAAAAATAAACAATTGATAATAGAAATAAACCAAGTGGCTAGGAATTCAATGTTAAATTATTCATATTAAAAAAGAAGGAATACATTTTCAAAGGCTTACAGGAAGACATTTTCCTAGGAATACCCTGGAAACATACGGAATGTAAAGTATAAAAAGGGGTTTATCACATGAACTTAAAAATTGCCATTCTAAGCCAATGGATATAGAAACAGGATGCTAACAAAAGGGGTTAAACCAAACCAGCAGACTGACTCTTACTGAACTATCTTCCTTACCTTGACTGCATAATTGTTGAGTGCATCTTTTGCATAAGAGGCAGGGTAATATACAGCATCACCTGCCTCGCAGCATGGCTTGTCACTGGTTAATCTGAAGTCCGACCAACTGTCTACCCCAAATCGAAGTTGATCTTTCTGTCCAGCCATAAAAAGATCTTCACACTTGACAGAGAGTTTCTTCAGCGAATCTGTGTGAAGGCTTCTGATCTTGTTCACTACTTCTTCTCTGTTTTCAATTCCTCTATAAAGTGCTTGCTGCTGTGGCTTCTGGGCAGCTTTACTGTGCTTGCTGTGGGTAACAGGCCTAACTGACAGGGACTCCATGCTATTGGAACAGCTTTTCTTAATACTGATAGCAGTGAGGTTGGAGAAGCTATTGGCAGCAGATGAGACTGCCAGCCCTTTTTCTGGAGGTCTGCCCAAAGAATCTCCTGATTCGTTGTCAACTGCCTTGAATTCTGAGCTGACGGAAGAGCAGGCGCTGCTTCCTTCCCAGTTAGTGTCAATGTCATAGGTGGGGTTAGCCATCACACAAAGGCTACTTTCAGCAGCCTGCTTCTGCAGTTCTTTCGGAAGTGGATCTGTGTGTGCTCTCAAAATAGTTTTCTTTGGCAGGGGAGGTGGGATTGGATGTAAAATGGTAGATATTTCTGGATCAGATATTCCCCCAAATGCAATGGCATCCTCTAAAGCTCCCTTGAGTTGCCGTGGCTGCTTTGGAGGCATCATTGCTGCTCTGGATTGCCCTGCATAATAATAATAATAATAATAATAATAATAATAATAATAATAATAATATGATGATGATGATGATGATGATGATGTTGTTGTTGTTGTTGTTGTTTTTGTGACTCAGTAGGGGGCACAGATATAGTATATATCAGCATTTCATAGTATGTAGCTGGCCAGGAAATAAACGAACTTTTTATAACAAACTTTTGTGTTTTCCACCAAATGAGGTTACAATTATTACCATGTACTACTATGTATTATTTTTATTTATTTTTTCAAATTTGTATGCCGCCCATCTCCCCCAATTATTATTGCTCTGAAGACGTAAAACGTATTTGCTTTATATAGAACATATTTAAAATGTAGGATATAAGTTATACATGTCATTTCTCTCTACTAGCTGTATTCAGCTAAACATGGGATGCCCCATGTCACTCTAATATTTGGAACTAAAGGAATCAGGTCCCTGACATGGGACCAGGTTACCTGAGGGACCGCCTCTTCCTCATGATTTCAACCTGTCCCACCTGATCACCCAGAGATGGCATGCTCCAGACCCCTTCAGTAAAAAAGCTCTGACTAGCGGGGTCTAGAAGGTGGGCCTTCTCTGCTGCAGCCCCCACTCTTTGGAATATCTCTTTGGATCAGCCCCCTCACTCCTGGCCTTCTGGAGGGATTTGAAGAGCGGGCTCTGCCATCTGGCCTGGGGTGGGGAGGGAAGACATCAGGTGTGGGGTTGGCTAGCCCCTTAGAGCCCTGGCATTTGCTGCTCCAAACCATAGCCCTCCTGGACTCTTTTCTTTTTTAATAATTGTTTTATATAGGTTTTATGTAATTGAATTCTCATTTATTGTTTTAATGAGTTGTAAGCCACCCAGAGTCCCCCATTAAGGGGAGATGGGCGGGGATAAATTTAATAAATAAAAAAAAAATAAAAATAAATCCTGAAACATTGTTACAAAGTGAATATCACATATCTCAACTTGTTTTGCCTCTTTTTTAAAAAAAAAAATGTACTGTATTAAAAGGAAGAATTATGGTCTTCACCCTTGATAATGTAGCCTTTTCTCTTTACCCCTCAGCATAGGTATACTCTCAATTCAGCTGAAAGTCTTTCCCTGATGTCAGCAGCTTTTGTGCTGGTTTTTTCCCCATGCATTCCTTTCATGCCTTGGAATCCTGCCTTCCCCAAAGCAATCTTTTTTGGCTAGCCCCATCTTTTTAATACTGACGCTATTTTGAAGAATTATTTTGCTGAACAGAGATTAACTGAAAGAAAGCTGTTGGCCGTGCTGGTTGGAGATTCTAGAAGTTGCAATCCCACTTGACGAGCAAAGCTGGTTTAGCAAATCACTTCTCAAACTAAAGCATGATATTCCACACAACATAATTACTGCCACAATTACATCTGCTTATATTGCACGCCCGGTCCTTTTACAGAACAAAAAGAATATCTCTGCTCCAAGAAGTTTACTACTGAAAATTCAACACAAGGGAAGCAACAAATGAAGTAGAAGAACTCGATAATGAACAGTAGAATGTGCAATTATTTCAATTACCCTTGTTTTGCTGTAATAGGGCAGGAGAACGAAGTATCTGTGGCTATAAAGGGGATTAGTGACTGGAAGATCTTGTGAAGAAGCAGCACACTTTATATGCTTTTAATTTAATTTTCTGTGGATGTTTTATTGCTATACTGTATAACTGTTGTGAACTCCCATGAGTCATGAGTTGTGGCTGTATATAAATTTAACAAATAAATTCAACAGCCTTTGATTAATACAATTCAGGCCTAGTGTTGTGTTGAACTCAGACAATAACCAAGCCACAATTTATATTTTGCACAGCCACCAAATACTTACCTAAGTTACTATATGTAGCACTACAGGCACTCACATCAGAAGAATCAGACATTTCTTCTCTCTCATCTTCCACCTGTAATATTTCTGGAGTGTGGAATGCAGTACTGCCAACGCCCTGCTTTTCAAATGCAGAAGTTGGAATCGGAGGGGACACATTTTCCACAGGTTTCTCTTTCTCGTCAGGCCCTTGACTAAAACAAAAGCAAGGTATAGTTCACCTGTCTGGCAAATGTCAGTTATCTTTAATAAACTGTGTTAAAGAAAAAAAAAGCACAGAGTTTCTAGAATGCTTTAAAGGAATACATAAGGCAAGCATTCTAAACTGTGCAAACAGTAATAATTGTTATAGTTATTCATATCACACTTAAAAACTTAGTATGGAAGAGAGACAAAGGAGTATCAATTAAATTAGAAGAGTTAAGATGCCTTACAGAAATTAAACAGGATTTACAATAAAGAATATAGACCCCATCACTGAACACAACTGATCAGAGTTCCAGATTCCAGTTGAACATATTGCAGTATTAGAAATCAGTACTTAGTACCTCTGCAGATTCAGCCCAACACAATAGTATTATATAATACACACATACATACATATCTATTACCACATTCATGGAATTTTATAATGCTGACATAAAAGTCATCCACAGAAGTTAGTACTGATAAAAAAGTGAAGTTAAAAAAGTCATCTTATTGTCAGTATTGATATTTTATTAACATGCGGCAGAATAGTGTAAACATAACAAATTACACAAAAACGTGAAACCATTAAAACGTTAGCCCAAGTAATTTTGCACATTCAAAAATTAAAAACTGAGAAGTTGTAAATTCACTTTGGGAACTGAAGGCGTGGAAAACGCTTTCTGTTTAACAAACCTTGCTCTTTGCTCTCATTAACTCTCCTACAGCTGCTCCATTCAAAACAACTCCTTCTAATAGTTGCTTAATTTGAAGTAAGCATTTCTATTATGGAATAGCATCTCTACAAATTTGTATTGATTGATAGATTCAGAACAGATTTGTTTCTAGTTCCCATATATGTGAATCTCTTTCATGTACTCTTTTGAGAAATGTGCTACCAAAGTAAATTCATCAACTGAGAAGGTAAACAAAAAGGAGAAACTCACCCACTATACTCACTCACACAGTTCCCCATTAAAGGAAATTCTCTCAGAGCCTTCTTGAGCCTTTTAATCATGTCTCGAAACTCTGGTGAAGCATTTATTCCACTGGGGTCTGGTGAGCTATAAGTTGTGCAAAGCAGTGAGCAACAAAGACTGTAGTCTGCCCAGAATGATATCACCTACTGCACCTTGATGTTTACCTTCAGGGATAGGTCTGGGGAATGTGCCAAAACACCTTAGAATAAGCAAAGCGAAAGCTTGCTTTCTTAACCCTTTCCTTACTATAGAATACAATACACACCTTACATATTTTTGTTCATTTGGACAAAGCTTGAAAAAACAAAGATGAATTACGTTAAAATTATATCAATTTGCCTATTTTAGAATTGGATCAATAAAGGAGCTGGGTTAATGAAAGAAACAAACATAATACTTTAGCTGCTCACAGCTTTTTTTTAAAAAAGGAGAGGTTCTGAGAAAGCAGCCGTAAGACTAGTATGCAATTACTCAACTCCTATTGCACAACAGAAGGGCAGAATTCTCTCATTTCCAATAAAACAAATTAAAGCAAGGAAAAGAAGCTATTACCAAATATTTCTTAAGCTTCAATCCCTTTGAAGGAAGAAAATGGAAAAAGAAAAGAAAACCTAGAACATATTAATCTGTTCCCTGCTTCTACAGTGCAGCTACACAAAGAAAACTGAAGAAAAGTCATGTTTGCATCAAGACCTTCTAGTGTATTTTACTCAGCCTGAAAGACCAGCAATTGACCATCATATGCGGGCCAAACACATTATTTTGCTAAATCATTTTACTGCTTAGGTGCATATGGGCAGAACTGGAAAGAACACACAAAGGAATTGTATTTCCTGGCTTCTACTGATAAGAAGATGTAAGAGTTATTTTCTGAATAATTCAGAAAATAAACTGAGCTTTAATAGGTAGCTTTAACAAAAGTAACATCATGAATAGTTCTTTTTAAAACAACATAGCCAATTCTACGTTATGCCTCAGAGTCAAAACAATTAAATCTGCAAATGCCACCTTAGCTCCTCACACCAAAGCTAGAATAAAAACCATGATTTCAGTTTTTATACCTGGGTGCTACATTATAGCACAGAAAAAATATTCCTGAAATTATAAATATCTGAGATACTTAACATAGTGGTTGGGGAAAGATATGGAATTGCTCAGCTGATTTAACAAGTAAATTGGCGGTTTGTCTATCAGCAGGGCTAATAGCTGGTCATGGAAGGGAGCTAGGAAACTGAAGCCAAGGGCTGTAAATCACAAGACACTTATTTTCACCCTAATCATTGCTGGATGCAGAGGCAAAAGGGAATAGTGTCCATTTCATGCAAAGCACTGTTAGCATGTTGTGGGATTTCAAGTGAAGTGACATCAGTTATGCAGAAGGTACAATAAAGAATATTTGGGTAGTCATATACTCATTTGGATCTAAATCTTTATTCAGCTTTCGGAATAAAATCAAACCTACTAGTTGCAGCTTGTGTTTGCATCAGTGTTTCTGAAATCAAGTTAAATCTCATTCAAACTTCTGGGCACTGCACAAGATTTGCTGCAGAGAGCCTTTTTTTGGTAGCAGTAATTCTTCGGAAAGGGAAGAAATGGAATGAAAGAAAAAGTAGCAAGAATTAAGGATGAATGGTTCTCCATTTCTAATTATATAACATTTTTAAATATTCCAGAACACAAAATACAGAATGTTCTGGAATGAAAAAAATGCTTCTGGGTTTGATAAGGAAGTCGGTGGGCAGAATTCCTCAATTGTTATTTTATACAATTTGCAAAAATATTTACTGCTCCATCAAGATGGATACTCGTCTAGGAACCCCCCCCATAAACAAACAAACAAACAAACAAACAGCTCAGCCTCAAGATTTTACTGGTTCCACAAACATGCAACAGAGCACATATATATGGACATTTTATCCCATCTTCAACATAACTTCTAATGTCCATAATACATATTCAGTGATTTGATCACCAAATTGATAGATTCTTTCTTAGACTCATATTTGAGGGTTGGCATCACAAATCTTTCTAAGATTTCAAAGAACAGAACACAGGTAGTCCTCGACTTACAACCACAATTGGGACCAGAACTTCCATTGTTAAGTGAGTCGTGCCCAATTTTATGACCTTTTTTGGCACAGTCATTAAGTGAATCACCATGGTTGTTAAGTGAATTTCCATGGTTGTTAAGCGAATCTGGCTTCCCCTGTTGATTTTGCTTGTCAGAAGTTGGCTGGGAAGGTTGCAAATGGTAATCACGTGACCCTGGGATGCTGCAACCATTGTAAATACATGCTGGTTGCCAAATGCCTGAATTTTGATCATGTGATCGTGGGGACACTGTGATAGTCATAAGTGTGAGGACTGGTCATAAGTCACTTTTTCTAGCATCGTTGTAACTTTGAATGGGATGTTAAATGAATAATCGTAAGTCGAGGACTACCTGTAGTTCAAACAATTCCTCAGTTTTGAAGCTACAGGATAGCTTTTGGGAAACTGCAAAGAGTAACTTTTAGGACAAAGTATACCAATATATCATAGTGTATTAATATGATCTGCTTCAGGGAAATGTGACAATCTTTCAGAGGTCTAAAAGCTTTCTCCTTAATCAGAACAAGAAAGGTACCAATAGAAAGCTGAGAGACTAGATGGTCAGAGAACAAAACCACACCACCTTCTTAGAAACAGCACAAATGTCTTAATGCAAATCTAAGTGCCTCTAAAGGAATAGCAAGTGCACTGATTCCTTCTTTCAGACCCTATCTGAAAATGCTCCAAATGATATGGCATGGCAGATTTCAAGAAGTTAACTGTATTAAACTCACACACAAAGTAAGCACTAAGCACAAACAATTGAAAGATTCAGAAATGGAAATATGTTTATTTTTGTGGTGGCATTAGGCACAGCAACTAAAGAAACCGGGATCAAGAAGCAGCTTTTTGGGTACATGCCTGCACAGAGTTTCTTTATATTCCCTTTAAGGCAGAGACACGTCTAGGTGATGACTGAATATGTGCCATCAAGTTTTTTTCAATTCCTAGCAACCACATAGATAAAGGTGGTACTGGGAACAATATTTTCACTATTTTCCAGTTAAAAAGAATATATGTTATAT